TATATATATATATTTATATTGTATATACACATACACACACAACAGAATGACACAATAATATGCTTCTTCCCATAGTTTAAGTAAACAAATAAGTAGTCTAGCCAATCTAGCTATATTTGATCTCGGCCATAGGCATCATCACATCAGCGATTAAATAAATAAGTGTTTCAAGCAACAAAAACAGTGTCTCAAATGTACCAACACAGCCCAATTCTATCAGCATGGGCTACAAAGTGAATTTGAAAATTCCTTAATGAATTGAAAGCAAATGTATCTTTTGTTTTCCTTTCCTAAACACATTACATTTAACTATGATACTAAGATATGTAAATAATTTCGTAGCACCTACTGCTCAGACTAAGAAAGTTTTAGATCAAAAGGAAAAGTAATCTTTTAAATTTTTGTTCTGCTGACATCCCATACTGATGACTTAAAGAAAAACTGTCTTTCAACTCATCTCCTTGCTTTTGGGTTTTGACTGTGGGGAACTGTGGTACCCTGGGTAGAACGAACACTCCTTTCCCCTAGTAATTAATAATTTTTTAATTATTATTACATGCTATGAAAAGATATGAAGATCATCTGTTTATAGCCCATCCTTCAAAAAACAGTCTACGAATCCAGTTTAAAACACACATCTTGATCTCTAAAAAGTTACCAGTGCAGTATGAACGCGACAAAGTTGTCAATTTCCCCTAAATTAGCCAGTCAAAATATTTTTTCTCAAATCCAGATTCTCTTGTAAAAATTCTTTATATTTTATAAAAATAGATTTTTCTTGAAACCCATTTTCAGCAAAGAGACCACCTCTTTGGCAACAATGTTAATGTTATTAAATTGTTAATGTCATCAGGTATCCCCCTGGCCCCCATCCCCTAACAGAAGACTGTTTTAGTTCACATGATATAAAAGAAAAAAGGAAAAATAAAAAAATTTGCAAAAGTTTTTTTTTCATTTTTGCAATTTTTATTATTCCTCTTTAATTTGTGTGGGTATTTTTTTTTTTTTTTTTTACCAATCTGAGTGGATCAACATTTTGGCAAAAAAGAAAAATCTTTTTTTTCCCTTCTTTGAATCCCATTACTTTGTAAAAATTGTTTTATTTTTATTATTTTTTTTTTGTTTTTTATTTTTCTTCTTCAAATGAGCGAATGGTCATCTTAAAAAGACCCACCTTCAAGGAAGGTAGTAAAGTTAGCTGGCTGGGTAAAAATCCCTGCACATCGCTATCTATGTATATTATATTCAACAACGACAGCTATGAAAGAACATTCAATGCATCAAAGGTATTTTTTTTGTTTTTGTTTTTTTTCTAAGCATTATAAAATCCTTTCCTGGTACACCTCAGGATAATCCAATGTTTTAATACTTAGGCAACACTGGCTTATAAAGTCCATGGTTGAATATAAGCCTTGAAAGGTTTGTTTCTCTCTCTCTCTCTCTCGTGTGTGTGTGTGTGTGTGTGTGTGTGTGTGTGTGTGCACACATGTGTTTTGTTCGTATATACTTATATATATATATTTTTTTAATAATTAAGGATGGGAAATTCAGGATTTGTGGGCTTTGTTGGTTTTAAAGGAAACTTGCAAGACTCGGTCTCCCAGGCGGTACCCGTTGAGGCTGGCGATGGCCATGGCGGCCTCGTCATAGTTGGTCATGGTGACAAAACCGAATCCCTTGCACTTGTTGGTGTTGAAGTCGCGGATGACCTTGACGTTGTTCACTGCGCCAAAGGGACCAAAGAGCTGCCAGAGGACACTCTCATCGGAATCGGGGGAGAGGTTGTAGACAAAGATGCACCAGCCTGTTCCTGTGTGACCAGGGATGTTCATTCCCACAAGACTTGTCATCCCATCAATGGTGATTGGGGAGAACCTGGGGGGACAAGCAGAAGGGGGGACTGGTCCAGACATCAGTCTGACCAAGGATAACACAGAGATGCACAGACACAGACACGGGGCAAAGGGCTGAGTGAGTGTTTGCAGGAGAGTCTTCAGGGTTTAAAAACCAAAATGCAAAAACTCATGTCTGTGGCATTTCCTCTGATGGGAATGGCTAGGTTGGCTGAGGCACGTATATGTTAAGAGAAAGGCCTAGGTCAGTTCCTAAAAACCACAGGGAACTACCATAGCAAGGCTCTATCATAGTTCTAGCACAGAATATGTTCATAGGGTATCCACCCTGACCCTTATCCTCCCTCTCCACGGTAGACAGTGAGTTCTTGGGGAAGGGGCTTGATTTCATTCATTCTGTTGCTCCACTTATTTATTCAGTGAAGCACATACAGGAATATCACATAGTGACATGTAGAAACTCAATAAATGTTTATTGATTGAATGAGTGAGTAACATTGGTGGAAGTCAAAACTTGGGAAATTTTATTTAATTTTTAAGATAGATTAAAGGATGACTCTAGAAGTGCTCAAGTCTTCTTCCCTCTTGCTTAAAAATGAATAACAAGACAAAACCAAAAATATCATTGTATAGATTCTTAGAAGGGCAAATCCATGTCTAAGTGTTATTTGCATTATTTCTGAAGACTGTCTTCACCTTTTCTCCTCCAACCGAATGAACTGACCTCACTCAAGTTTATAGGCAGAGAACAGTTAAGTGTTTATGTTAAGGCCAAAGTCAGGGTCAGCAAAGAGGTTTCAACTCTAGTTGGTTATGGCTACCTGGAGTACTTTGGTAGAAAGGATTCTGGGTCCAAATTTGGGTTTAACAGGACAAGAGAATGAATGCTTTTATCAACCAGTGATGTTTACTGGGGGTGGGGACCTGGAGGAAGTGGCAGCCACGCATGCTGCCTCTGTGTCTTTCCTGGCCCCCTCTATGTATGGGCATCTCTCTCTCATCATATTATCTGCTAGAGGGTATCAAAGGTCAGGGACAAAGAGCTGGGAAAAATGTAAAATGTGTGGGAACAGGCAAGCAGTATGCTAGGCAACTGGAGATCATCCCCTTCCTGGTACCAGGATTGAGATTGGAGAGACCAGAGCTCTGATAGCGGAGTCTGCTGTCAAGGTAACATCCTTTACTGTGTGCCTATTCCCATGGTCGGGATACTTACGATGCATGGCCAAGGGAAAGAAATGCCTCGCGCAGGGGGTGTGGTGTGGACTATTAAAGACCACATCTCCTTCCCCTGACTATAGGAAGGGGAATTACAGTGTGCAGCTCTACTGAGCAGGATGATGAAGATGCTATGTCCCTAGCAGCTCAGTGGGGCTTATCAAAAGCACATTTGGGAATCTCATGGACACAGTGACATAATGCACTCGACTTCCTGAGATCAGCTTTCAGATTTGGTCTGGAGCACCCCTGTGCTGCATTCAGAGAGCTCCAAAAGCTTTGACTCTATTTCAGCCCCCGAACTCACAAACAGGCTTTAAGTGAACAAAACAGCAAGTTTAAAACACACATACATATATAATCACGGGAGGATTGATAATAACTGTTAAAACCTGTAACAAAAAACACACAAAACCCTGGTTGAGGTGCACACAGATACACTTCATTCTCAGGTTGTGCCCTCAACGGCACAATGAGGGAAGGCATCGGGGTGGGACACAGAAGGTCATCCATGCATGTATGCATGCTTTGGCCAGGGGCTGGTAGTCCAAAATCTAATTTTTCCACTGACAATCCTAAGATTGTCAACCATGATTAACAAAACGTTCTAATTCTGATTTGCTGGAATTTGCCCTGTTAACGGAATCTTGGCATTGCTAAATGCAAAAACAGTTTGCTCTGCAAGTTTGCAAAATCAGCTGGCAGAGTTGGAGCCTTTCCCCTGAGGGAAGCCACTCGGAGGACCCGACTATCAAGGGCTCGGTAGCTGTGGCACCTGAACCGTAGGAAGAGCCCGTCTGCAAATAAAAGAAAACGTGAAACACACAAACACACGTTGTGTGCCCTAAAAGAAACAAACCAACTGAGGTCCGAAATGAAAATTAAGAATTGGACATGCTGGTGGAAGAAAAAAGGAAGAATTAAAAAAAAAAAAAGTAAAGTTAGTGAATTAAAAAAAAAAAAATTCTAGCCCCAGTCTGTGCCAACACGGACATCTGGCAATCTGTGGAGTTTTAATTACCTCTTTACGCCATAGGCCATATTAAGCAAATTGTCCAGCCTGCAAAGAGAAGGAGGGTCTCTGGGTTAATGCCTCACAGATGGCAAGATCGCTCAATGGAACTATTAATAAGAATGCTCCATTTTCAAAGAAGAAAAGCTCAGCCACTTGCCCCAGTGCTCACGAGCCTATCCACCGCTTTCCTGCCTCCATTACAAGGAATTCATGTTCAGGTCAATGCTGGAGTTTAAAGCAAGTGTCTCATGAATCTCCCTTTCTTTCAAGGCCTGAATGAATCCCGCCCCCCACCTTTCAGGACATTTGTGTGTACTTTATTTTACATCGTGTGTGAAATTGTTAAAAGAGGCGGCTTCTTAAGTTGTTCACATTTTATTATAGTGAAACTTGTGAATACAGGTCTCATATTAACAATTCATGCGCGCACACAATGCATAGCAGAATGGAGCTTTTCTCCTAGTCTAGCTACATGAACTGAATCTTCTTATTACACACATTTTTGGGGGCGGGGAGGAGGAGTTTTGAGGTTAAGATTTTTAAAAAATCAGCTTACTATTTGCAACCGGAAAACACCTCCCGGTAAACTGCTATTCTGTTATAAGCTATTATCTCTCTCATGCCCAGCACCTTTCGGGGACAAGCTATTCACACCACGGGGCAGTAGTAACCATAGTTTCCGCCATTAGGAGCCTGCTGGAAAGGCTTTTTACATAAACACTGCATGTGCTCTCGCACAAAATAAAAATTAGATGACTTGGACTCTTCGTGAAATCATTAACCATTTCCCATTCAAGGGCACGGGAGGACACTGCAGAGGCTGATTTTTCTTCTCACTGTGGCCAGATGGAAGGGCGGGCTCTCTCCCCATGTGATGTTTGAAAAGGAGAAGACCCTTTCATCAAAGGGAAGTTGGGACATGGGTGGAGTAAAATAATTATTTAGAATTATTATGGGTAGGTCAAGAATATTCTTATCACTTGCACAGTGGAGGCCGTTCAAACTCAAACTGCCTTCCTGGAGAGAAACCTGCCTTTCAGATCAGTCCCAGGAGAAAGGGAATGCCCCCCCGCCCCCCGCCTTGCACCAGGAGCTCCCCAGGGGGTGGGGTACCTAAAGGAAACACTGATAAGGCTGGGACACATCTTCCTCCTTTTCCCAGGGACCGCTGACGTCATAGTGAGAGCAAAGTTAACACAAACAGGAGCACCCCTGCGCACCTAACCCAGCAGTTACCTGCAGAAGAAAGAGGAGGACAGGCCAACCCACTCTCTCCGGCAAGGATGTGCCTCCTGACCTGCTCTTTCCTTTCACTTTATTAAAGCCACTGCCTTAACCTTAAGTCTACGCTGCCAAATTCAGTCACATCTGTGATGAACTCTTTTTGAACCTGAACCTTATTTGGTTAAATACAGAAATTGTATTTATGCCAAGGAATCTGCAGTTTCACCACAGTCATGGTGGTAAATTGACAGGGGGATTGGAAGATCCAATCATCTCATTTGACTGGAGTGAACACTGAGGCTGGGGGGAGGGGACTTCTGCACAGTGATTCCAGGAGGCAGAGGCCATGGGCAGAGGCCATCCTTCAGGGCCATGGGCTTCCCTCACCCTCACCCAGCTCTGTACCCAGGTAGCAAGGTGAATGGGCACGAGGGCACCCCTACCTGAACCTCTGGGCCTGGTGGTGAAGCGGGCCAGGGTAGCGCCTGTTGGGGGACTGGTAGAGCTGGGACAGCAGGGCCTGGCTGGACTTCTGGCTGGGGTTGTTGGCAAACTTCACAGTAATCGGTTCTGTAGCACCGCTGGGCTTCTGGCCATTCAGCCCTTTGATGGCTTCTTCTGCCTCGATCCTTTTATCAAAGCGGATGAATCCCACCCCTCTGGACACTCCTGGGGAAAGAGAAAGAACCTTAATAAAGAGTGAACAAACCAAACTGGTAAGAAACCCTCCAGGAAGAAATGGGCTGGGCCCCAAGGACATTCCGTGGGGGATCAGCCCACTGATGGGGCCAGGCTGAGCCTGGCTCCCTGAATATCACACACTCACCAAAACGCACCTGCCTGGATTTCTGCCATCATGTCTTTGAACAGGTAACTTCCACCCACAGAACACAGGCATCTCTCACGTCTGCCACTTCCAGCCCTCCTACACCTCCCTGCTCAGTCTTTATCTCCCTGTAGTTGCTGTGACTGGTCACCCACTGTCCAATGTCTCACCCTCCGGAGGACCCTCCATAGCTAGCAACCAAGTAATCTATTTGAAGAGCAAACTCTGGCCACATTACACCCTTTAAAATCATCTTCTATACCTTTTTTTGTACCTTTTTAAGTTTTTACCTTGTGCATGGTCTCTGTTCCTCATTGCCTCCCACTCCAAACACAGAATAACGAATAGCCCCCACCCCACCCCAAACCCTTCCATGGCTCCATGTTGCAAATAGATAAAGTCCAGGCTTCTTGGGGTAGCATTTAATATCCCTGATGATCCTGCCCCCAAACCTCTGTTGAGCCTCAGATCAGCCATGCTGAGCTGCCAGATGTTCCCAGGACAGGTTGCGTTCTTCCTCGATTTCATGCCTTGACCTGCACCCTATCTGCCTATGCTATAGGACGCATCCTATCTGCCTGCCAGATAACTGCAAGTCATCTTGGAAATCCCTGTTCAAACTCTGCAACCTCAATGGAGTCTTCCCAACAATTTCCAGCAGGAACAGCACACCTTCTCCTGACCTCTCACGGTGCACTGGACAGCCTCTAGCAGGTGTCATGAGCTTTCATGGTGCACTGGACAGCCTCTAGCAGGTGCCATGAGCTCTCATGGTGCACTGGACAGCCTCTAGCAGGTGCCATGAGCTCTCATGGTGCACTGGACAGCCTCTAGCAGGTGCCTTGAGCTCTCATGGTGCACTGGACAACCTCTAGCAGGTGCCCTGAGCTCTCACGGTGCACTGGACAGCCTCTAGCAGGTGCCGTGAGCTCTCATGGTGCACTGGACAGCCTCTAGCAGGTGCCGTGAGCTCTCATGGTGCACTGGACAGCCTCTAGCAGGTGCCGTGAGCTCTCACGGTGCACTGGACAGCCTCTAGCAGGTGCCGTGAGCTCTCATGGTGCACTGGCCAGCCTCTAGCAGGTGCCGTGAGCTCTCATGGTGCACTGGACAGCCTCTAGCAGGTGCCGTGAGCTCTCATGGTGCACTGGACAGCCTCTAGCAGGTGCCGTGAGCTCTCATGGTGCACTGGACAGCCTCTAGCAGGTGCTCATCACACAGGAGTCCAGTCAGGACTCTGCCTCCTCCACCCTGGACCCCAGTGTTTCCTTCGTCTCTGGACCCTGGTGTCCCTCTGCAGTGTCTGTGGCACAGCAGCTTCAATGAAGGTTTGTTGCATGACTTGAAGGAGAAGCACATGCTGAACTGCTCCTGGGGGATGTTTTAAATTGAGAGCAAGTTGGGAGGTGAAAACATTTTGTCATTAAAAATGAAATCTGGGGGTGCCTCGCATTTCTTACTGAGAGGTGGTGGTTGCCTTTCTTTAGCATGGACCAAGTCCTTCAGTACTGGACCCTGGATTCATATCTCTGCACTGCTTCTGACTAGCTGGACCGAAGTCAGATCCCCCGCTTTGGACCTCTGTTTCCTCCTGCGTGAAAGCGGCCAGTGTGAAGTTCCCCCTCACTCTATGGGGGCTAACATCAGGGCTAGAGCGATACCTACAGGTTCTTTTCACACACAAATGTAATGTTACCTGGTTGAGGGTTGAAAGAGACTTTGAAGGTCATATAGTTCCACTCTCAACCCAGTGCCTGAATCGTCCTCACAGCCCTGCCAAGTAGATCAGCTGCTACTGGACTGATTCCCACAATGGAGGGCTCCTGCCTCCTGAGACGGCCCACTTTCAATGTGGGGAGTTGATTGAGAAGAAGTCTTTCTCTTACGTCAAAAATCTGTCCACTCATGACCCATATCTTCTACCCTATGTAACCATCACCCCTCTGCTCCTATGGGTCACAGGGCTCTGGCTGGTGACACTGAGACACAAGGAAAGGAACGACAAAGAAACACTTAACCTGTGACTTGATCAACCAGGATCCGTGAGGTGATGATACGGCCATATTGCGAGAAAAGCTGCTCCAGTTCCTTCTGGGTCATGGTTTTGGGAAGGCCGCTAACATAGAGGTTAGCATCCCTGATTGAGGCAGAGCTCGGGCGGGCATAGGAGACCTAGGAAAAAACAAGAGGCACTAAATCCATTAGCGGCAACAGCTTCCGAGTAGCGAGACCAAGTCTTCCACCAAGACGAGAATGCCTCATCTACCTTTCTAACTCATGGTGTCCGTTTAAATAACTCAGGAGCTCAGATTTTAGCTTCCCTTGTAATAGTAATGAGAACCAGGAGAACAGCAATAGAGGAACAAAAGGAGGGCTGACAATAACTTAAAACAAATGCACAGATAAGGGTCTCTAAGTGCAGAATAAAATAGCTACTGTACTGCAGCTGTTAAATGCAGAACTACCCACGCTTAGAGTTCTGGAGATTTACCTCCTGGGTGTGGGTGTATAGATGATTTACTGTATCCAACACATAATAATCTTTGAATAAATAAAAAAAACCCACCCATAAAATTCTGCTCTGTGGATTTCTCTCCTTGGCACCCTCCCCACCTCACCCCCTTCTTCGTGAGCGCATAAAAGCGATCAGGTTCTCTGCGAGATTTTTTATGTTCCATCCTTTGTGCTGCTCCAATCTGTTCCCACAAGGTCTGCTCTCGCTGAATGACAAAGCGCTGGTGAAATGGGGCTGAATGAACATCTGCTTGCAAAACTGGATATGTGACCTTGTCAGAACATCTGCAAGAACCAGTTGCCTTCGAACTTGGAGGCGGAGCAGACGAAACCACAATAAACAAAATGAGGGCGAGGTGGAGAGGAGGGCGGGCAAGGGCAGCAGGGGAGAGACGCGAGCCTCACCGATGCTTATAATAAGTTCGACTTTGTAAATCTGTCCTCCCAGATCTCTCAACTGCTCCCCCCTCAAAGCTAACACAGAAGTGTAAACAGATCTGAAATTCCATCTGCAAGAAGCCAAATCTGTAGCAGTACACACAAGCAAAGCAAACCCCAGCAGTCATTAATTTTAGACTTTCATTTACTTATTTATTTATTTTTTAAAGAAAACAACATCAGACGTTTGAAATATAATTTACAGCTAGTCTAACAAAAGCACTTTCCTGCTAAAGCTATTTCTGGGGCGGTTATGGCTCAGAATAGATGATGAAAATAGTCATTTCAGAGCACATCTGACAATGTCGGACAGGAAGGGACCTATTTGCCTTAGCATTGTTCAGCCGGGAGTTTTATTCCATCTATAACCAATTTACAAGACCTGCTAAGACTCTAGGGGTGTGTGTGTGTGTGTGTGTGTGTGTGTGCGCGCGCACGCGCGTGTGTGCAAAAGATATAGTCCAGGTTAAACTGGACCTCTGGCATTAAGAACTAAAGCTCCAGTAGCAAGGAGGACCTTGTGTCTGAGACAGGGTCTAGCAAAGAGGAACGAGGCATGAGCAGACCCCTCACCATGGCACTCTCTCTCTTTCCATGACAGAGATGCCAGGTCCCTCTGTGGGTTCCACATCTACAATAGATGTTGACTCAACAGATAAACGATATGAAGGACTAACTTATCTTGCTGATGGAGCAAGGCAGCTCACCTGCAGTGTCTTCACCTTCTAGAAGCTCACGGCTGCCTTCTCCAGGCTCCTCCCCAGGACATGGCTGACAGGCAGAGGGACCTTTACATGGAGGGTCCAGTGTGCATTTTTTGGGGTTGGAGGATGAAGAACCAAAAACCCTATGAGACTGGCCAGGGTGCCACTCCACACGGGGCTCTCCCATGCTGTCCTTTATGGGACAAAGTCTGGTTATAACCTTGCAAAACATTTCTTTAGGCACGAGCAGGGAGCAGTAGGGAGAAACAGAAACTTCATGTATGTTTGTGGTAATGAGAGTCACTCTTGTCTGACCCCTGCCAATTACTGACAAATTATCTGAATGACCTTTGTGTTTCCCTAAAACATACCCTCCTCCCTCTTTGGGTTTGCTCAAGGGGAAACATTTTCCCACCTACTTCCTCAGCTGCAAATCCTACCCCTCTTTCAAGAGCAGCTCACATGCCACCTCCTCTAATCAGCATTCCCTGATCTCCCAACGGGGCTCACAAAGAGCCGCACCCACAGTACTTAACCTGTCCTGACTGATTCACCATCTCTCCATCTAGTCTGTGGATTTCCTTGAGGCCATGGTTGTAAACCTGTGTTTCATTCATCTCTGTGGCTCTAGCTCCCAGCACAGAGCCTGATACCCACAGGGTACTCAATACCCACTGAAAGACTGAATGCACACCACAGCTCACACTGAATGATGCTAACATTAATGGGGTTAATTGTAGCTTGGATTTCTGAGAATGAAGGGGGAATCACTGAGAGTTAAGCATCCAGAACCACAGCTGTGATTCCCCACTAAGCTAAGAGCTAAGGGATAGGCTTCTCATTCTCCAGTGTCTGTGGTTGGAAGGATTGAAACAGTGTTGTACGTTTAGACACCATTTAAAGGTCTTCCCAGCAAACATTGCCTGAGGGTCCACTCTGAGCCAGGCACAGTGCTGCATGCTGGGGATATACAAGACATGAGGACAAGGCATGGGTTTTTTTGCCCTAAAGGATCCCCAAGTGCAATGGGTGCAACAAAGACCACTCAGGAGTTACTCAATAAATGAGTTAAATGGAAGGATGACTAGTATGCTTATGGACCAATCACCACAATGCCACAAATGTGTGCTATTTCAGGGTGATGTATAGATGCAACTGGAACACAGAAAAGAGAGAGACTAATCTCCCTTTAATTAAGGATTAAAAAGGCCAGGAAGGAGACAGAACTGAGGTGAGACTGGTGGAGAAACAGGTGGTGTGATAGTGTCAGGGGTCAGGGAATGGTGGCCTAATGATATCACTCTTCTATTTGAGGACCAACAGGAAGACGAAGGTCAAGGGCTTAGTGTAGGGCCTGCCTGATATCCACAGGGTACATACATGGATTCCCATTAGCTCTGGGCACCCAGAAGTGGGGTACAGAGGGGAGCAGGCTGGGACAGACCTGCTGGGAAAAGGAGCTGGCACTGGGAAGCCAATGACACAACCAGAACCATCTCCTCAAAAGATGATTCTGACAGGGAGATTCTCAGTCAAGGAGAATTCCTGCTACACATCCCCAGGGACAGGCCCCAGGCACACAGCAGCAGCACGTCCTATAGGTGAACAGCACCCTTCTTATCTATCCTCTGCCAAGCCAATTGTTCTCTTAGCTTCCTGTCCTATGTAGAAATAGGAGTGGACAAAAATGACAGAAAAAAAAGATCTTCCCACATTCAATATCCAAAACACTCCTTCCAGTATCTGAACTTTTCAAATCCCCTCATCCATTTATTAAATCCTCATGGAATGACTACAGGTGGTGGCCCTTAGTTCGGGTGAAACATTTTTAAAGGTCCCAATTCTCAGTTCCTGCAGAGTCAGGCATGGCTGGCTTGTTAACCCCACCGAGCCTGGGGCTGCAATGCTGGAGGCAGCGCCCTGCAGAAGCCTGTGCCTAAGACCATGGGGAGCCAGCTTGCTCCATTCATCCAGGATCTCAGAAGACAAGACTGGCATTTCTAGGCCAGCACTGATCTTGCTCTGGAGCTTGGTAAAAGCTGAAAGGAGGGAGCCTACTCCTCTCTCTCTCTGGGTAAGGGTGGCCCACAGGGAGGGGAGGATAAATGGCTGACTTTATAAATAATCTTGAGGGAAGATCTGCAGTCACTCCAAATTCCCCATCCCTCTCCATCCCTGCAGGCTCACAGCAGCCCTCCCCCTCCAAGAGTGACAGTATGGCCTGGAGCTATGCATCCTGACTGTGGGCAAGTAGTTGACCTTGGGAAGTCATTGTATGTTGATAAGTCTCAGTTTCTTTACTGGTAGAAAGGAGGACAGTTCTCCTTTGATGGGTTATTGTAAAGCGTTGAGATAATGGGTTGAACGTGTCTAGCACATGCTTAGAATTTAGTTGATACTTGGAAAGTATGATTACTGATGGGTCATACAGGTGTTTGTGGGCCAGCCTGGGACTCCAGCCCTCATTGGGACACACTTTTTAGTTTTATCACAAGCAAACATTTGGAACACTGCCAGTGAGTTCCTGTGGAGGCACTGACCTCGGTCATCCTGGTGGGTCTGGATCATCCTTGACCTCTCCACAGCCATGAAGTAGCCCTAGCACATCCCTACAGGTTCCACTGCTTCCCGTCCCATTTTCCAAAGTGACGTCACAAGGCAGCTCTCAGCGATTCTCGCCAAGGTGACAAGGCAGGCATTGCCAATCCTCACAGACGGGGCAGCAGGACCAGGGCTGGGGCTGCCCCTTCCCGTACAATACTCACAGGTGCCTTCACCTGTGCACTGCCAGGGCTTGGCCTGGGTAAGGAGGGAGGAAGAGCATGGTTTGGGGAAAACCATTTCCTGAATCATCTGGCAACGCCTGCTCCTTGTCTGACCCACCATGGTAGAGAAAAGGGAGAGGACTTGGAAAACATGATAAAGGCATCATCTTGGGTGTTATTAGGAAGATAAGATGAGAGGAAAGGCCATCTTCTCTGCCCTGAAAGGGTGTTCCTTCAGGAAAACACTGACATTAGAAGATCATTCATTCCACCCCTTCCTCAACACTTCCAACGTGTCAGGCCTTGTGCTATGGGTGAGGGCATCTCTGTTTCAAGGGCCCCACAGGCCACTGAGGGAAGTAAGCAAACAAGTGAAGAGTGAGACACAGAGGGTTGTTCATGATGGGGATACTGAGGGGGATACACATTTCATCCTCCCTGTGCTTCCTTCCATGTGGAGGGAGCCCCTATAGGAGCAGTGCAGGCCAGGGGAACGGGCGTGCCGACTTTGAATAGGCCTCAGCAAAGGGGATGGGCACATGAGCCTCAGCCGCTGCCTGCTTCCTCCCTCTGGGAGTCAGATGCCAGCTGGAAGCACACTCTCTGCTCCAGGCTCTCAGGTCCTATGGGAGCAGGCTGTGCTCTGATATAGGGAGGCCTGTGGGACCAGACCACCTGTGATGGGGCGTGTCAGTCTGTCCAAGTGTGGGGTTCTGTGTTAGGAAGCCTATTGTGCCCATGGAACTCATCT